TATTATCTGTCACCCGCATGACAGGATTTCTCCCCTTGTCTTTATTCTAGACAAACCAGGTGGCATGTACGTACATGCCATAGCTGTTGTGGACAAAGTAGCGGGTGGCATCGTATCATGACCATTCCTGTGCCATTGGCTCATTGGGCGGAGTTTGTTTTTCTCCGATATTAGGGGCTTCATTTCTATGGTCAAGATTTTAGGCAATAGCACCTAAAGTGAAGGTAAACCTTCAAATTTTATATTATTAAAAATCATATCAAAATAAAAGCTTTTAGGTGCCAAATGTCACAAACAAGCCGGGCACAAACAGGGAAACTGTCAATGCATGCCAACAATCCTGTGATCTTGTCCACTTGCCAAACTTTTTTACCCTGAGTGACTGGGTTATGTAAGACAGGGCTGCCAACTTTAGGAAAAGCATAGTGTTACTGAAAGTTTACATTATCTTCCTTAGAGATAGGACTTGTCAAATATTTTGTGAAACCCAAGATTTCTTGTACACCAGCTAACATGTAAATATCCAACTAAATCACATTTTTAAAAAGTTGTCTGGTCTTTGTGAATATGGGATTTTCCAAAGTTCTCTCCACATCCTAGACCTGAGTTTAGCATAGACCTAGTGTGTGAATCTTAGAATAACACTATGAGTATTGATATCATATTAGAGGACATAACCAGTTTAGATTATTACATATGGCACATGTGGAACACTAGTCATAAGGGCTCATAAAATAACGAAGGAAGCAGAACATTTTGAACCATTCACACCAAGTCATGGACTGTCAGAGAATAGACACAAGAATAGAAGGGAAAGAAGGGGATTTCCAGGCACACAAGAGGAAGATATAAGGGAGGAGAAGAGAAAAGGAGAAAGGAGAGGAAGAGAGAGAAGAAAAATAAGAGAGGAAAGAAGGTTATTCCCAGAAAAAGAAGAAGGTAAAAGAGAGGAAAGGGTGATAAAAGAGATAAGTGGCATGAACAGAACTGAATGAAGGGATATTGTTTCAGAATAGAGAAAGGCAAAAGAAAAACGGAGAAGAGAGCCCCACTCATGAATCTAATGAGTCTTCACTGAACAGTACAAAAACTGATTCAGTAAATTTTGCCTCCAGCACAATAATTCATAAAAGCCTATTCATAACAACCATGACTAACCGCGCAATATATGTGCATTCCTTTTCGACATGACTGTGGGAGTTTTCCCATGACTTTTTTTTTTCTTTATTTTGAATGAGATGTATGCAGTGTCCACTAATGTGTCTGGTAGTGTTTGGAACATCTCCTCTGCCTGAGACACCACTAAGTCATGTCTTCCAGTCTCTTATGTTTTTGTGAATGATATGTAGTGAGTGTGAAGTAGTAATTCTGATACTGTATGGCATATTTCATCTAGCCAAACCTTAGATTTTTCCCTCTTCCAACATCTCTCATTCTTATTATGTTACTGCATATCACAGAGCTACCTCCTGCTATATCAACATCTATTCACTAGACAGTACTAATATGTATGTTATCTAACAGGCTAAATAATTTCTGTACATCAATCCGAATAGGCATATCCTATTTTCTAATGTAAATGATATTCAAAAATTCACAACACTCAAAACAATTCCTCTTACTTGGGGTTTAACAATACAAAGAATAAAATAAAATGCAGATTTCTGAGAGAACCGTATACCATTCTACCAAGCCCTTCTCGGATTTCCTTACCTCAAGATCTTCCTCTTCTTCTATGTTGGAAATCTGGTTATAGGCCTTAGTGTAAAGCTCCACAGCTTTAGCATGGAAGGCTAGTTCAGTCTGTAACAAAGATTTGTAAAATTAATAAAAAAAGTTGGAAAATATATAGATTAAGAAAAGAGAGAAAATAAACCTATGGGGCAAGATTCACTATCTCATCATGCTAAACATAATATACAAAGGTAAATCAATAAAATAAGATTTTGATAACTGATAAAATGCGAGTTTCAGTTCCAAGAAATTTGCATAAATACACAAGGTATACAAATAAATTATACTATCAGCTAATTATTTTCAGAAAAAGCCTTGAGTTCAAATTTAAAATTCAAGTCAATAATTTAGCATTCTTGTTTTGCTGGGGTGCAAGCATATGCAAATGACACTATTACCCATGAATGACTTTAACACAAATCTATTCTTGTTAAATATCTGTATACAGCGGACACCTCCATACCTGAATAAACTCCTTCAGTATTCTCTTCAAATCTGTCACCTTCCTCTGTTCGAACTGGTCCATCTGCTCTTCAATGTTTTCACATGCTCTTTTTGCTTCAACTGTGGCCTTCTGGAGCTTCGTTTCTGCAATTGCCTTGGTTGGAAAAAATAAGGCAGGATTATTTTGCAGCATGTAATGCACAAAGACAGCAAAGAGGACTATGATAATCCCCTTACAAATAGCATCAAACTGGTGTTAACCCAATGCTTCTCGGAAAATGTAATGTTCACTGCAGTTTTGTTTTGTGAAAAGTCTCTCAGCATGGATGGCTCAACAAGTGCTCAGCCACCAAGGAGTCAATTAGAAGACCTCATGACTAATGCTAACAATATTGGTACTGTCATCAATATAATGAACAATATAATTATTAGCATTGTTAATACAGCTAAAAGCAATATAAAAAAAAGAAGAAAAAAAGAAGAAAAAATCAAGAAAAAGGTGAGATAGGTAGTACCAGTAATTCACTCCTTGGTGACTAAGCACTAGTGGAGCCATGTATATGTAATGACAATTTGTATCCTAAAGAGGGAGATACATACAAATCTGCTGTCGATTCTGGATGCTCTTTGGCTCTCTCCAGGTTTCTTCTATGGTTCATTTCCTGTTGCCTGGTGTTAAAGCTTCTTTTCAGTTCCTCTCGGGCCGATTTACATACGCCCTCATACAAAGCAAGCTCTCCAACAACCCTTGATTCTAATCTCTCCACTTCAACATTTCTGCAATTGTGCATAACTATTAATGAGGAGGAAACTGTGTAAATCTATGAAATACTTAATCTGGGACTAATTAACATTAAGGTTCTAAGTTAAACACCTTTCACTAGAACAGTCGCATATCTTACAGAATGAGTGTCACGTTAAAGATAATTATCTATGATTTTACTTCCTTACTCAAAATTCATTCTAAATCCCTTTTTGGCATTACTTTTGTGATCCAAAACTTACCTGAAATCTTGAACTGCAGCTAAAGTATCTGCAGTTTCACAGAGAGATGATCGCAGGCTTTTGTTAAGATTTTCCACCTCTCCATAGCGTAGAAGGGCTGTAGATACTTCATCTCCTTTGTCCCTTAGGCTGATGGGAAAGTGGTACAAGATTTTAGTCTTATCCTAGGAATACTTATGCTTCTGGATAATGGAGAGAGTCGTCCTAGGTAGCAGAATCTTTCAAAAAAAGTTAAGAACTGCTTATATCTCTGGTTTAGTTGGATGAAGTTATAATCTTAAAATTACTATCTTAGCCACATAGCTTAGATGATTCATTCTCTGCAACAAATGCTCTGAGCTAATATTGTGGATATAACAGTTTGGCTGAACATTAAAACCATGTTGCTGGGAAAATGTAGTGTTCACTGTAGTATTGTTTTGTTAAATGGTTCTCCACATAAATGGCTCTGCAAGTGCATAGCCACAAGGGAGTCAATTAGTAGACCTTATGACCCCACCTAATTTCACCTGTATGAGTTTGTTTTTTGTTTCTTTTACTAAAGCTATCAATATCAATGCTGTTTTTATCTTTATAGACATTATAATCATCATAAAGCTATTGACATTACTAACAGCAACATAAGATATCAGAAAATATTTCCAAGAGTTAAGGAAAAGGATAAAGGTAGTACTTGTAATTGGCTCATTGGTGACCTAGCACTTGTGGAGGCATCCATGTTTAAAGACAATTTATAAACTAAACTCACACTGGGCAAGGCATGTAAGTACATGCCACTCCCAATGGGATCATGTTGAGAACTGATAAACCTTTTCCTTTACTTTATGAAGTAAATCCAAGCATTACAATGTATTGACATAAAGCAACCTACCAATTTGTTTTGGCAAAAGTCAGAACGTGATCCCCATCTGCCAAACCTTTTCAAGCAAAGCACACATACTTTATCATGCTATAGTAAAAAAAGAGATGACTCAATTCTGAGAGACTTCTATAGTCCCTCATCATTTAATGCAGGGGAATTAGAGGTGAAGGAAAGAGTAATGGAATAAAATATTACACTTCCTTACTAAATAACAACAGCACTGACTCAGAATCCCATACAAACATACAACATATTCAGTTTCTTAAGTCTATTTGTTATCTCCCTGATGTAATGATAATGACCATGATCTTGTCTAGGATGGGCATAAAACACACTTGAGAGAGAACATGTGAATAAAATAACCAAAGAATTCTAGAGCTGCAAAACGACCAAATTTGGCAAACTAACCGTGCTGTTTTTCTTGTGTAGGCCCCAAGGGAAGTGCAGATCTGGCCGAAATGCTTTTCAACTCCAGCTATTCTTTCTTGTATGAACTTTGTTTGACTTGTGCTAAAATTAGATATAAATAACTAATTACAAATAATATAATAAGTAGGATAAAACATTAGCATATAATACCAATATTCAATTGTACCCAAATAAGGATATGAATATACATATCATAATGAAAAAAGTCTGATCATGGAAAAATTATAAAATTACATAACTATCCTTTTCTCTAAAATCCCTCAGAAAATGTTTAAGATTTTCTCTAAAATACCTCAGAAAATGTTTAAGATTTTAAATATATATATACATGTGTGTGTGTATGTATATATATATATATATATATATATATATATATATATATATATATATATATATATATATATATATATATATATACAAGTATATGCATATGCATAAATGTATATACATATGTATGTATAGACATATGCATGTATGTATAGACATATGCATGTATGTATATATATGTGTATATATATATATATAT